AGGAATGGAGAATATAGAGACAATGTTCACCATGATCTATAGTCACATCAGAGCTTGTTTTCACCATGGTGAAACAAACAGTTCTCAGCAGATTTTCTTCTTCCTTGTTTTTAAGTTTTCCTTCTTGAGGAAAAAAACAAATCTTATCTAAATAAAAGTTAAATTCTAGTGTCTTTCTGAAAATTACCATATTTTCTTGTAATGTTTTACACACATAGTATGTTTTCTTGTATATCTGCTCAAAAATGATGGAGTTGTCAGTTTAGATGACAGAGATGGTTTTCGGTTTTGCTGAGTATGCCCTGTTTTGAACACTGTGGTGCCCTTAGTTCCCCCTGTCGAGGCTAGGGAATCTGGTGCCTTTTTTTAATCAAAGAACAATGCCACACAGCTTTTATATGGTATTGATATCCCCTAAAAATGTGAACAGTTCCACTGGTAGCTGTTTTTTCAGAAGTCATTCCTTTAGAAGGAAAAAGACTTGAGGGAGTGGGGAGAGTGGGGAGACCATGCTCTCTTTCTCAACCCCCCTAGAGACATGGTCTTGCATACAATGCAGATCTGGAAGGAGCTCATGTTAGAGTAGCCCACACTGGTTACACAAACACACACCGCTGGGCTCCTAGCACCCTCCAGGCACTGCTACAGTGATTTTGCAATGATTGAATCTTGTAAAATTTCCCTCAATCCTATTTGGTAAGTATTATTATAATCCTTAATTTTCAGAGGAAAATTGAGGCACAGGAACGTTAAGCAACCTGCTGAAGATCCCTGGATAGTAAGCAGCAGAACCGGGATTACAATTCAAGCATTCTGAATACAGAGGCACCCTTAACTAACTTACGACAATACTCTCTCTAGATCAGAGGCAAGAAGGAGAAACTCCCAAGAGGGGATGCTGCAGTGGGCTCTGGACCTGTAAACTAGAAGAGCAGATCCAACTGCAGATTCTTTTAAATCTTTAAGTTCTGCATCCCCACCTCCAGGAGACATCAGAAGGGCAAAATTGTGGTCTGCAGTCAACCAATGCTGAGAGATCCAGGCACCACCAGGAAGGGAGGTTCCTCAGGACTCCCCGGAGTTCTCAGGGTTAGAAGTGGAGCAAACATGGCAGTTTCTGCAGGACAGATTGCTCAGAGCCTCACTCTATGATGTGGATGTGAAAGAGAGGAAAAGCCTTGAAGCTGATCAAATATGGGACATTCTGGCTACTCATAAAATCCTATTCATAAAAGTTATAAACTGCAAAACAAATTCTGCTAATGATATTTTATGATAACGCTATGAGATAAGCCTAACATTCCTTTATCTGGGAAGCATTACTCAAACACATTTCAAGGGCCAGCTATATGCTGGTTGTCAGACAGATGTACAAACACATGCATGTTTCTGAGGGCACCCACTTCTGTGGAGGAGACACAGATTTACAAAGCGAATGGTTATCATGAAGCAAATAACTGATGGAAGTATACGACATGTGTAGTGTCTTTAAGAGATTACAAGGCAGGCCTTGAGTGCAGCACCTAAGACACAGCTTGGGATGCTCATATCCCATATGGGAGTGTAGGGGTTCGAGTCCCGTCTCTGCTTCCTATCGAGTTTCTTGCGAATGCGCACCTGAGGCTGCAGGTAATGAAACAAGTACTTGAGTCCCTGCCATCAATGTGAAAAACCTGGATTGAGTTCCCAGCTCTTGGTTTCAGCCTGGCCCAAAACCAGATGATGCAGGTATTTGGGGGAGTGATCCCTCTGGTAGAAGATCTCTTTCTCTTTCTCTTTCAAATAAAATGAAATTTTAAAAGTTCATGGAAATGTGCATTATCTTTTTAAAAACTTATTTATTTATTTTAAAGGCAGAGAGAGAGAGAGAGAGAATCTTCCACCTTCTGGTTCACTTTCCGAATGGCTGCCATAGCCAGGTCTGGTCCATACTGACGCCAGGATCCATGAATTCTATCCAGATCTCTCACATGGGTGGCAGGAATCCAAATACTTGGGCCATCATTTGCTTTCTGGCCAGCTGCATTATCAGGGACCTGGAACAGAAGAGAAGCAACTGTGGCTTGAAGGAGCACTGAGATGTGCTATGCCCACATCACAGGTGGCTTGATTCAGTGCACCACAATGCCCACCTTGCATTATCTTTTTAAGTGGGGAATGGATTAGAAAGCAGGAGCACTTAAGCTATGCAAAGAAGAAGATACACAGAAAAAAAGGATAGAAGTGTTAACGCATTAGACCTAGCCAGCACCTCCCAACTAGGGAAAGGTTTTATAAGGAAACAGACCAAATGAGCAAGTACACATAGGAAGTTGGTACTACACGGAGTAAAGGTTGTGTATAGTTAGTAGACAAAGTTAGAGAGAAAAATAGCAGGGAGCACAGATGACAGACCTTACACTCTGTGCACGGAAAGTGGAGTGATGAGTGTCACATTCATACAACTCAATAAATGAAATAAGATTAGGAAGGAGGTACTGATAAGGGTTCAGATGGAAGGCAAGTTTGGTTTTTGGCAAAAGCAGCAGAAAGTGGAGAAACTTTAGCAAGGTGATGATTAATTTACTATTTTTTATACAAAAGAAACTCATATAATAAGGTTTGAGGATCAAAAGAGCTAGAAAGAGAAATATAATTTAGATTATGGGGCTATTCTGTATATATATTATGCTTCTAAGAAAAATGTACACAACTTTATGTTATAGGATGATTTCATTATAAGTATATGCTATCTAGAGTTAAAAAAAGTGAAGGAGAAAAAACATGACCAAATAATTCATGAGGAAACTGGAATATTATACTCCCTTCTGAGCTCTGAAATTGCTGTTAAGTGTTCTGATTGGTTCTACAAGAAAAGAAAATAGCACAAGCTTAACATCTTGTAACTGAAGTATCTCAGAGTTCTTTAAGTATGTCATTGTGCAATGGAGCTCTGAAGCATTGTCCTGCCAATGACAGTGTGAGACACACTGCTGCATGAAACTTGAGTTGTCTTAGTTATTTTTAGCAATATCATCTTTTTAATTTCAAGAAATCATGCTAATTTCCCTTTAAATAGATTACCTATAATAATGACTTCTTTATTACCTAGTCCTCTGGTTAATGGACAGAATGATTTTCAATGTGAGCACATATCCAGTAATATCATTCTAATGGAAATTGTCTAATTGGATTGAAATGTTAATTAAAAGCCAAATAATTCATGGATAGTATTTTCTTAATGCAAATTAAAACAGTTATCATAAGTATATAATCGGGGGCTGGGGCTGTGGCATAGCTGGTAAAGCCGCCACCTGCAGTGCTGACATCACATATGGGCGTGGGTTCAAGTCCTGTCTGCTCTACTTCTGATCCAGCTCTCTGCTATGGCCTGGGAAAGCAGTAGAAGATGGCCCAAGTCCTTGGGCCCCTGCACCCATGTGGGAGCCGCCAAAGAAGCTTCTGGCTCCTGGCTTTCGAATCGGCTCAGGGCTGGACGTTGTGGCCATTTAGAGAGTGAACCAGTGGATGGAAGACCTCTCTCACTCTCTGTCTCTGCCTCTTCATAACTCTACCTTTCAAATAAATAAATAAAAATATTTTTAAAAATTAGTATATTATCCATCTTGGCTAAGATCAATGTTAAGTATATAGTGCTTGCTTCGACAGCACATATACAATTATAATTATATAATCCAGCCACTAGGTGGCAATCACAGTGCAGTTTTACTATACTTTATGAAGGAAAACTCATATGTTCTGCACTATACTTTTTCAACTAAGCTTGTCAATTAATTTGAAAAGACATCTCCTCACGTGCTAATATTCTGATAAACAGAATAGAAGATAATTTCCCAAATAATCAGAATATGATTTACAATCAGTGTTCCCTAAAAATGGTAGAGTTTCTATTGAAATGGAATAAAGATTCTTGGATGCAGAGTGATTGTTGAATACCGGATGGATGGTGTACATTATGTTGAAAGTCACCGCAGTAAAACAGGAAGAAATGTTTAGATGACATGAAACAATAATTTAGGACTGTCAATACCTTGGATTCAGGAAAGACTGAACCAGTAGAGCTATAATAAGATCTTATCTGAACAGCATGCCTACACACCAGGCACAGGCGAAAGGAAACCAGGCTGAGTTCCATGGGTCATGTGTTCAGAGTCAATGCATCTTTGCCACCACCTTTTGGACACCAGGGTTTATTTTGCCCCGTTAGAGTTAATACAGTGGCTCCCACCTCTACATAGTCCCTTAAATATATACTTAAGGAAACATTACTATACTATACGCTTTTTTTTCTAAGTCATTAAAATGTGCTTTTTCTAAGATACCAGTTAGAACAATGTCCTTAGTCAAAATCAAATGTAGCTTTAATTTTAAGAATTTTACACATTGCCAAAGGGCTTCCTAAAAAGAAAATGACCACTCAGATTTACGTGAGCAGTGTGTGAGTACCCAGTGCTCTGTCACCACCAGCAGTTTCTGCAGACTTCTAGAAACACCTGGAAGAAAGACAAGCTCCTTCATCAGCACCCAAGACCATTCACTTCCATTTCTCCACAATGCTTCTGACATCTGTGCCAGGCAGGCTACTTGCCAGATGCTTGTGACCAAATGATTTTGGACTCAGGATTTTCTATGCAAGGCACATTTCCTTTCCTTTTGACAGCAAAATTCTTGTTGTGACAGCAAAATCTGATTTTCTTAATCAGGGCTTTTCCCAAATCCCAGACAGGATGGGGTGCCATCTTTTGCACCCAAACAGGATTCTCTTCCTGTTTCCACCCTGGACCATGGAGAATGCCATCAGCAGGTGTTCTTTGTTTGGTTGCCTATACATTCTAGGTAGATAAGGGTATATTCTAATCAACGCATGGTAAACTACTTAGCATCCTATGACACTCCACTTTTAGTAATCATTTAGTTCATTAGTTAGTTTAAAAGGCAACTTTAACTATTAATATGGTTTTCTTGAGGGAGAAAAGGTCCTTTCTGAATATTGAACCTACCTGGTACAAAATGAGAATTGTAGTCAGGAGGAGCAGCAGGCATGGGGTCTGGCAATTTCATCTGATTTTCCATTTCACCCTCAGTTTTCTCAGAGGCTGTAGGTACTACACGTTGGCAGAGAAGGGAGGACATGATCATAGGGTAATGAAACACATTTTTAACTTGTTAAGCATCAAAGAATAAATCAAGATGAACACTCATATTGCTTATAAAAACATAACTCTTCATGACAGGCATCAACCTGTTATTAAATTTTATGTCTTTTCAGGCTGAACATGGATTTAAAAAATAAAAACTAAAGGCTTATACTGTGCTTGCGAGCAAAACAAAGACTAGTTGTTCAGCTGACCCAATGCTCACTCCTACCTACATGGTAAATTCCCTGAACAAGTAGCAAAAGATCTTTTTCCTATTACATGAATATAATATGGAAAACACAGGCATACATAGATGGAGAAAATATGATTTTCCCCTAAGCCTTTGAGGAAAGTGTTATCTAAATAAACTCAAAAGATAACACTATAGTTAACGGTTTAAAAACCAGAGGTGCCACACAACAGTCGATTAGAGGTAGTTAAGTCTGTATCACCAAGTGACTTGCATTTTTACTGTATCCTTTCCAAAAGTAGCCTAGGTCACAGTAATTGCTGCAGGGCAAGTGCTATGGTTTGCATATTGTTGGGGAGGGTTCCAAAAGGCACATGTGTTCAAGGCTTGGTCTCTGGGGAGGTGCTATTAGGAGTATGAGAACTCTGGGAGGTGGGAAGGTTAGAGGGAGGTCCTTAGACCTTCAGGGAGATGGTCTCAGAAGGTAGTGCTGGTGGGACTCCCTGTAGGTCTCAGAAGAGAGTTGTCAGACAAGCCCGAGTTTGGCCCTGTCCACTCCCTGCCTCCTGGTTCACCGTCTGATCCTCCCTCTGCAGGAGCTCAACCATCTGCCACGGCACCATGGTCAAAGCCTGTATAAAACCTTTTATACTTTCAGCCTCCAAAAATGTCAGTTACATAAACTGTACCTTCGTCATCTCAGGTCTTTACTGTAGTAACAAAAAGCTCATTATTACAGTTACATTTTAGGATGTTACACCTTGTGTTTTTGTTAAATTAGAGAAATTCCTCTCTGGACAACACTATAAGGAAAAGCTCTGTGTTTCCTAACCAACTGGTTGACTGTTATCCAATAGAAAACACAAACTGCATAATTGTAGTGTTTCTCTTTAAATCACTAGAAAACTCAACACCTGCTTTCAGCTCTCCTCCATCACGCCCTGGTGTCATCGCAGGCTCTTTCTTTTAATCACTGTCACTGCTCTCTGCAGACTTCCTTCCACATACATACTCTGCCTTTTCCTAATTTACCCTACATACCTTAGAGAGCTTTTCATAGATTTGTGCCAATATAAGTCTCCTTTAAATTCTTTTTGGACACAGATAGATAGAAATGTTCTATGAGTAAATGTACATATGTATTCATATACATATATATTCACACACTCATGTAAGTTCCTAATGAAAATGACAAACTTCAAAGCAAAGGAAATTCCATTTTTAAGGAAATCACTAACACAATTCACATTTTTAAAATATATAAGCATATTCAAATTAATTCATAAAGACTTACCTGACATTTTGAAGAATTCCAATTAACCCTAAAAAGAAAACATTTAGTGGCTTAAAAATACGTATGCACAATATAGTTACTATTATGCACATTAATTAATGATGGACATTACATGCTGTTATATAGTTACTATTATGCACATTACTTAGTGACAGACATTACATACTGTGTGATTTTTTAAAATTTCTGTATATGCTTTCAGTAGTTCAACAAATACTTACTTAGTACCTCTTATGTACCAGGCAATGTTACAGATGTTGAGAATACGGAAATAAACCAGATACATACTCTATTGCCTACTCTACTTGTTTATATTCTAGTTAGATGAGTTTTTTTTAAAAAGTCAACAATTATGTTACATTTAGATATAGTTAAGAAGAAAACAAAAGCTTTTTTCTATAAGAATGGATCGAAATGCTGTACATAAAGTGACTTTTGATCTATTGGAACAATGAAAGAAAGCACTACATTAAAATTACAGAATATCACAAAGACATAAAGGTAAGTAGAAAGGTGCAGAGATGGTAATGAGCTTGGGATATTCAAGGAAGAGAATGAGAAAGAAGCCAGGTGTGACTGGACCACGGTGCGTGAAGAAAATGTGATAAGAGAGGAAGACAGAGGTCTGATCTCAGCTGAAGGTCATGGCAATGTGTTTGGAATTTGTTGCAATTACAACTGGAAAGTATCTGGAGGAGGACGCTTTTCATCAGTGGAGTGATCAGACCTGACTTATGCTGTTATCTCAAGAGGCGAAGAGTAGAAGCACGGAGCCGTGACGAGGGCATCGGGAGTTCAGGCGAGAGTTGATGCTGGCTAAGACATGGGAGGGTGACAAGTGGCCAGAGGTATGACACAGTTTGGAAGCGGACACTGTAGGAGTGACTGATGGACTAAGGAATAGAGAAGAGTCTACAACTCTACCTGTCAAATAATGAATAAAAATCTCTCATTTCTAAAATAAAACTTAACTGAAAAAAATATAGAATTCCAGGCCTGATAATCTTTAACACAGTCCCAATTGATCCTTATGATTAAGCATGCTTGAAACTGATGAAATGTAAAGGAAAATAGTTCTGAATGATGCCTGGCAGGATTTAAGAATCCAAGTATGACTCAAGTTGAATAACAAGTGAAAAAATCACAATCAGTAAAGGAAAACATACTACACCTTGCCTCACAAGTTGCAGGTGCTCCGGGAATCTTTTACCTTCCTTCTCCTTTGAGTCACTAGTGTTTTTTTTTTTTTTCCTTCCATTCTATATTCTCTCTTCTCTTTATTGTGAAATTTTAAAATACAGTTTTAGCGGAAATGTTATGTGAGGCAGGATAACATCTAGCTGGTGCAACATTGTTATCTTAATCCTTCCTTAATATTCAGGGCATCTGTTCAGATTTCCCTGTCTTTTCACAATAGCAAAAAGTGTTGTCCTTGAAGAAAGTGACAATTGCCTTCTATTACACAGAAATCAGAGTAGAAAGCTGAGCTGTGTCTTGACTATGGACCAGAATGACTGGTCCAGGGGGCCCTTAATTACAGAGACCTCTGCATTTTCAAGTCTCAGGATGCCCACAGGGGTCTCTAAGCAGACTAGAAGGCAGTAAAGAGGGAAAGCAGTCATGGATACCACTTGCTACCTCCAAGAGTGTAGCTGTGTTCTATGCTTCCTCTTCAATTTTACTTTTGTTAATGGTGACACACTAGCAGGGCCCCATCAAACTGCAAGTTTCAAAGCCCCACAGCAGGGATATTTTTAATCCAATCACAAAATCCAGAAGGAAGTAAGGTCTTCACACTTAGGCATTTCATGGATTAAGCAAGGACAGTTATGGCCATGTGAGAATCTCTGGATTCAAGGCTTGGGCACCTATCTGTAGTCCAAAACTCTAGCCATGCCTGTGTCCAGTGCCTTCAGCAGGGAGCAGATAGAAAAGAGAGCAAGTCCCTTTTTAGACAATTCCTTCTGCTTCTTAGGCACAAGAGAAGTACTCTGGAATCCCAGATCTATCCCCAGTAGCTGGGTTACCTTGAGTGTCTGTCTGCTCTTAGGTTATTCTGTGTATCATGGTTGTGCTGCCAGTTGCATCAGTTTCACAGAAATATTACATCTTGATAGCACTTAAAGAGTGCCTGGGGCATAGCAAATCCTTGATAAATTCACATTATTACTATTATTCCACTGGTAAAAAACACCAGCTGATGAAGCGATCCAAAACCTGAATGTCTATGAAAAGGTAATATAAACAAAGGCTGTCTGCCAGTGAGCCATTCTGCATGCCTTGCTGCTCATCCATGTGCAGGAATGCATGCTGGCTTCTAAGCTGACACCACTAGCATCTACCTTCCACTGCCAGTAAGATTCTCACAGATATGGTTCATAAACAATGTCTAATGAGTCTCAAAGTGAAAAAAACCGTGAGGAAAAAATGAGCACTGTGCTGAAGGGCGTCTTCCTGTTTTCAGCTAAATGAAAGACAAATGAGTGAGAGTACAGCTTGTCTACAGGATTTGCTTTCATTTTAGGATAGTGACATTGATTATATTAATCACATGAATAGATTTATCTTCTAATTGACTCAGAGCAGACAATTAAAATTATAGTAAGGAACTCTTCTAAAATTAGAAGATTATAATGTTCATTATACATCTTAAGTAAATATTGAAGTTTTTTATAATTCTACACTAGGAAATATTGAATATTTAATACTAGTATAGTACCAATGATTAAGTATACTGAAAGTAGATCATTGTAAAAATTGAGAATGAGAATCTGAGAGGGAGGAAGAGAAGGCATGAGGGCAGAAGGGATGGGGTATTCGACTATGTTCCTAAATCTGTATATATGAAACTTGTATAACTTACCTAAAATTTTAAAAAAGTATACTTCATTGTATGAAATGCAAATGAGATAATAAGAGGGTACTTTAAAAAGTTTGTGGAAAATGCAATTGGAACATATTTATCTTGGAGCAAAAAAGTGAAATTTATGCATACAACGAATCTTCAAAGATTTCATGGAAAATGCATAGTATGAAAAAACCACATATGGATATCAAAAAAATTTTGCATCAAAGCAAACTTACCTTTTAATTCAAATTTTCATAAAATTTTTAAGTATAAATTTATATGTATATGTATATGTATATGTGATTAGAATATTGCATTTGATTTACTTGAAAGCCATGATGACACTCTTTAACACATTAAAAAGGTTGATAGTTTTCAAATGTCCACATTTTAACAATTTCATATTTCACAATGATCCAAGTTAGGTGAAAATAAGTTTGTATGGTTGGTATGCTAATAGTTCTAAGAAAAAAATATATGATTTACTTAAAAGAATTATCTATCAGCTTTTGCTAATGATCTCATATCAATTATTTTCTTCTGTCTCCATTTTTGTTGGTACATGAATCTTAGTGTAGGATAACAAAAAACATTTTCCCAGTCTTTGTCCTGGATTCAGGTAGACATCTTCTAAGCCCTAAGAATCTCTGAATGATAGGAGTATCTTTGTTGTCCCTGGCAGGGCCTTGGACCTCATCTCAGCTGATGCTAGGATAACTCAGGATGTAGGCTGTTCCTGTCGGGAAGACCCACCATGTTTTCAGCAATTTTGCCTGAGTCCTATTTCCAGGGAGGTGGGGGCTGGAGACTAAATTCAGCCATGTGACCAATAACTCAAGCAACCATGCTTACATAATGAAGACCCAGTGAAAGTTCTGGACACTGAGGCTCAGGAGGCCTTCAATGTTCCTGGGGGCCACACATCCTAACTTCACAAAAGGACATGGAAGCTTGGTGTTCGGGACCTTCTTAGACTTCACCCTATGCCTTTCTGTATTTGAAGGACCCTGACTTTTATCGTTTATAATAAAACTTTAATCATAAGTAGAGCACTTTGATGAGCTCTGTCAGTCATTCTAGCAAATGATCAGATATGAGAGGGTACTAGGAATCCCTGAATTCTCTAGAAATGTGAGTGACCTGGAGAACTTCTATGTGGTTGGTGTCTGAGGTGAGGGCAGTCTTGTTGGGAATTGTGCCCTTAAAGTGGCAGTCTGTGCGCACTCTGAGTAGTTACTGTCAGGCCTAAACTGCAGTAGTTTCCTTAGTTTATTGAAAAAGCAGGCAAAGGGGACCAGCATTGTGACACAACAGGTTAAGCCACCACCTGTGATACATATTCCATATAGGCACAGGTTCACATCCCCGCTGTTCCACTTTCCATCCACCTCCCTGCTAATGTGCCTGGGAAAGCAGTGGACACAAATGGCCCAAGTGCTTGGGCCCCCGCCACCCACATGGGAGATCTGGATGAAGCTCCTGGCTTCAGTCTGTCCCAGCCCTAAGTGGTGAACCAGTGGATGGAAGACTTCTGTCTCACCCTTTCTCTCTGTAACTCTGCCTTTCAAATAAACAAATAAATAAATCTTAGGAAAAAAGCTAAACAGTTATAATAATGTGTATGTGTGGGGTGTGTGTGTGTGTATGTGTGTACGCACGTGTATTTCTGATTATAGTAGCAGGGGCATAGGGGAAGATGACCAGAAAAAATACAATCAAATCAGAATCAATTTTGCATTTTTTTCTTTGGTATCCCTGGCCTGGTACTGTTTTGAGGCAGCCTAAATACACTAGCAGGCATCAGCTGCAAGGATATCTCCAAGAAGCCCTCCCATTCTGGCTTGGGCACAAGGGGAGGATTTTATAAAGTTCAGAGAGAACTGGAGAATTCCTCAGTATCTCTCCCTTTTCTCCACCCGTTATGTTTCAGCTCGTAACAATCCCACTGTGAATAAAGTACTAAATATCAGAGGATGCCCACAGTGGTGGAAAACACAAAGGGAGGGGACTCTTTCTCTTGTTTCAAAGAGCTGTGGTCCCAAGTGGATAGGGTGAACCACTGCCACTTCTTTTCTGTCTCTGCCTTACTGAGACTGGGCTATGAATGCAAGTGAATTTGTGGGAAGTACACAGCAGAAACAGACAAATAAAACCTCATTTTGCTGGATGGAAAACAAAAA